GAATAATTCACTTAAAAAGACAAAACCTTCTAATCTATGCATAAAAACAGACAAAAAAAAGAACTAAAAATGTAAACAGCAAAGTTGTTGTTGTTGTTGTTGTTGTTGTTGTTTTTTCATTTTAAAATTGGTTTTGATTCTGCATGAGCAGTTTTATGTCAAGGTAAATGGCTAAATAAAGTTCATTTAGATAAATTTTCAAAACTAACTGCCCAAATATGTGCTGAGTTTGGTACAGCTGTCTTTTCACTGGACTTGCACAACCGTTAAAATCCAACAACAAGGTGCCGAGTTGTGTCCATCTACTCTTAGGTATTCCTGGAAGTCCTTAATTGGCTCTCTCATCTCTAACTTCATGAAGGACACGAGGATTCCCACACACACAAACACACCGTCACTCAGTCAGAAATAGCAGTTTAATCAGCGTTCGAAATAGCAGCTTAACCAATCAACGTTGCTGAGCCGTAGTGAGCCTGCAGCGTTGTCACATTAATGGCTGGTGATGTAGGCTATACTCACAGAGATCCTCTAAGCTGATTGGCTGTCTGCTGGAGTTATTCACCACACCTGGCATGACACAGGGGGCTGATTAGAGATGGAGTTATTTGTTTGGACTGTGGAAAAAATTCAGCACCTCCTCCTGGAGTTTGCTACAGTGACAGATGATAGACAGAGCACCAACGACACACAGCAGACAATTATTTCTGAAAATCCTGCAGACTGTCACATATCTTTTCTGTCTAATCAGAGCCACATGTAGAAAGTATACATAGATACACAAAACCATATGAAAACAACACACAGCCTTGATACGTCCATCAGAGCATTTGCCCTCTTTCCTCCTGTCTTGGATTCCCACCCAACCTCCCTTCCTCCAAGCTAACATCCCTCCCTCCCCGACTTTCTACCCACACCTCTTCCTTCCCAATCTCCTTCATTCCTTCGTGCATTCCCTACCGTTGCGCCCTTCCTTTTCACAGAATGACACAGCAAATCACTAATCCAAGTTGTACTAAAGCTGTAGAAACTTCTGCATTATATTTTACTGTGCAGATCTCAGACAGATGAGGGCTGAAATAGGGAAGGAGACAAAAATGGGGGATTTGAAGGGAAGGAGAATGATAAGAAAGAGGAGCAGGAGTTGACCTTGATTTTGTCCCCCACCCAGCTCAAACTGCTTACAAGACACTGCTCGGTGGACGTACACCTGTTGTTTTTCTGCTGGGGATTCACCTTGGATGCATATAGAGCCACTAACAGAGAGCAGACCACCAACCAGAAGGGTCAACAAACAAGGGGTATAGCGACACTGTCTTTGTTGATATAACAGTCTCCTTTTAATCGATTCAAGAGTTTAAATTACATGATAAGACATTTGTTAGAGGTGTGTTTGCAGCTGTATTTTGAATGGATCCATCTGTATCAGCGTATTCATCACTCTAAAGTACAAAGATGCACAGTTGAAATGGTGTAAAGCTGCCAAAAATACAGCAGCACTAGTCCTATTAATAATAAAATTACAATATTATAATTATAAGAACATTTTTCCAAAAAAAAACATTTTTCATTTTTCAAAAGTCATCCAGTCTTGGTTAAAAAAATGACACTGCAATTTCTGGTTCAAAGGGATAGGTTTTAACAGTAATTAACATTCAGGATGTACGTTACTTTTGCATGCTAAAGTAATGTAGCAATTTAGTTATGCTATTAAAAA